AACATCGACTCGGACCACTATCTTGTTGCAGCCAAGATACGCACCCGCCTCTGTGCAGCAAAAAATGTGCGCCCAAATATGCAAGGAAAGCTTAACGTCGAAAAGCTGCAATCACAACAGACAGCCAGCGCTTTCGCTACTCGACTCTCACACCTGCTCTCAGAGAGCACTCTTCAACAAACCGACATATGCGAGCAGTGGAACCACATTTCCCGCTCATTAAGTACCGCCGCCGAAGAAGTAGTCGGATTTCAGCGAGCCCGAAAGAACAACTGGTACGATGAGGAGTGTCAGGAAGCTGCAGAGAAAAAAGATGCCGCCTACAGGGCCACGCTGCGATCGGGCGCAACGCGCGCTATGTGGGACCGCTATAGGGATCTGAAGAGGGAAGCGAGACGTATTTGCCGCAACAAGAAGAGAGAGGCAGAAATACGTGAGTGCGAAGAGCTTGAAATGCTGGCCGACAGGAGGAATGCCCGAAAATTTTACCAGAGAGTTAGGCGACTTACGGAAGGTTTAAAGACCGGGGCGCACTCCTGTAAGAACAATAATGGCGACCTAGTAACTGATGTCCAGAGCGTACTTAAATTATGGAGGGAACACTTTTCCGCCCTACTAAATGGTAGCAGCACGGAAAGTTGTGGAGAAGAAGAACCCGAGCCCGCAGTCGATGATGACGGAGTCGACGTTCCACCGCCTGACTATGACGAGGTACGTATAGCAATAACGCGGCTGAAAAACAACAAAGCCGCTGGAGCTGACAGCCTGCCAGCTGAGCTATTCAAGTACGGCGGCGAGGAGTTGATAAGGTGCATGCATCAACTCTTGTGCAGAATATGGTCAGATGAACGCATGCCCGACGACTGGAATTTAAGTGTGCTCTGCCCAATCCACAAGAAAGGTGACCCCGCCATTCGCGCCAACTACCGCGGGATCAGCCTTCTAAGCATAGGTTACAAGGTCTTATCGAGCGTATTGTGTGAAAGACTGAAGCCCACCGTCAATGAACTGATTGGGCCTTATCAGTGTGGCTTTAGACCTGGCAAATCCACCATAGACCAGGTATTCACAATACGCCAAATCTTGGAAAAGACCCGCGAGAAAAGGATCGACACTCACCACCTATTTGTCGACTTTAAAGCCGCTTTTGACAGCACTAAAAGGAGTTGCCTATACGCCGCTATGTCTGAATTTGGCATCCCCTCAAAACTCATACGGCTGTGTAAAATGACGTTGAGCAATACCACCAGCTCCGTCAGAATTGGAAAAGACCTCTCCGAGCCGTTCGCCACAAAACGGGGTTTCAGACAGGGCGACTCCCTTTCATGTGACTTCTTTAATCTGATGTTGGAGAAGATAATAAGAGCTGCAGAACTGAACCGCTCAGGAACAATTTACTACAAGAGCGTGCAATTGCTGGCTTATGCCGATGACATCGACATCATCGGTAACAAAAACCGCGAAGTCTGTTCTGCCTTTTCCAAGTTGGATAGGGAAGCAAAGCGCATGGGTCTGGTGGTAAACGAGGACAAGACGAAGTATCTCCTGTCATCAAACAAACAGTCAGCACATTCGCGCCTTGGCACCCACGTCACTGTTGACAGTTACAATTTCGAGAAAGTAGAGAATTTCGTTTACTTGGGAACCAGCATTAACACCGATAATAATGTCAGCATTGAAATCCAACGTAGAATCACTCTTGCCAACAAGTGCTACTTTGGACTGAGTAGGCAATTCAGGAGTAAAGTCCTCTCTCGACGTACGAAAACCACGCTCTATAAGTCACTCATCATGCCCGTGCTGGTATATGGCGCAGAAGCATGGACAATGACAACATCCGATGAGGCGGCTCTTGGGGTGTTTGAGAGAAAGATTTTGCGGAAGATTTACGGTCCTTTACGCGTTGGCGACGGCGAGTACCGCAGACGATGGAACGATGAGCTGTATGAGCTTTACAACGATATGGACATAGTGCAGCGAATTAAAATACAGCGGCTCCGCTGGCTTGGTCATGTCGTTCGAATGGACACCGACGCTCCAGCTCTGAAAGTATTCAACTCGGAACCCGCTGGTGGTAGCAGAGGAAGAGGGAGGCCCCCACTGCGATGGAAAGATCAGGTGGAGAAGGACTTGGCTTCACTTGGCGTTTCCAATTGGCGTCAGTTGGCACAGAGGAGAAACGACTGGCGTGCTTTGCTGAACTCGGCCAAAATCGCTTAGGCGGTTACAGCGCCAAAAAAGAAGAAGAAGAGAAGAAGAAGAATTTTCGGATTTGAATAGCGCTCTTGCCGCCGTAGCCCAGTGCTTAGATATGCCTACTACTACTCGGGAGGTCCATGGTTCAATTATTGGTCCCAGAAACTTCTTTGGAGCTGGAGTAAAAGTGTACATCTCTCCATTTAGGGGTTGCCTTAATCTGGGGAAAGCCTTGTTAACTTCTAAGAACTAAAAATTTTGATTGAGAAGTCAAGATTTTTTTGAAATGAAAGAAAACTGACTTTTTCGATAAAAAAAAATCCGGTTTATTTGATATTGGAAAAATACCGGTGGAAACCGGTTTGGAAACCGGCATGTACAAAAAAAAAATAATAAATAAAAAAAAAACAATGTATGTACATGTGTACATACTTACCAATGTCTAACATTTATAATGGAAAAAAATATTCATAAAAAAATCAGTTCGAATTTTTTTCGTATAGAAACGTTTACTTTCGGAAACACAAAATGGATAACCCTTTACATATGCACAAATACATTTCGTTTTCAAACAACGTAATTGCATGCAGTTAGTATGTACTTGTATGCATTTTTTCAACCCACCCATGCAAGCGTTTATACATGAAAAACCTGCTGAAAAAACCTATATGTGTTCTATTGTCACCATGACCTACAATCATACAGATTGCTACTTATACTACTCGTACACTCACTTACGTCGAGCTAAATTATCTATCGGCTTGCCGTTAAAGAGTATTTGGACTTACAATTGATGTGCAAATCAAAAGCAAAATCAGTATAAGTACTTATCAACAGATAGTTTAGAAAGTTCTTTGTTGACAAAAGTGGTAGGGCAACGATTGAAGCACTTTTACCGCATGTACACATGGCTACAAATCTAATGAAATTACCCTTACAGCGCTTAGTTTTTGGAGCTGATAATAACGAATTGCTATATCAACTTACACTATGTAAATAACAGCTAGAAATTTTCAATACTCAATGTGAGGGTTACTCATTATTGATTTAAAGGGATAAGATAGGAGAGTCACGTGTATCGACTTTCTCCCGCCATAAGTGCCAGTTCAATATAAGATTGGTAGGTTAGGCTCAATAGGCTGGCAAAAGAGAGCCACACTCGATTGATGTTGGGTACTTTAGCATTTGATATGAGATCGTAAACAGTACATTATTTTCATATCGACGCATTCTCAACTGTTTTTTCTAGGAAACGTAATGGTTATAATCTTTATAATAAAAAAATATATATATATATTTAACGGCAAAAATTTGCTTTATTTGTATCAGTGGATTTTAATTTTATCGATCATCATATTCAATTTTCAGAATTAATTTTTTTTCCTATGAAGCCGAATGGAAAAGTTGAAAATTTCGATAAAAACCTTTTGAGTTTCTCTGAGTTCTGTTTGAAATTGAAAAAATTGGTTCAAGTGGTTTATGCTGATGAATGAACAATATTTTTATAAAAATAAGAAAAATTTAGTACATAAATACTAGACTAGTCTAGAATTTAGCCAAATATTATAAAAAGCTAATATTTCAACGGTATTTACCAAGCAACGCTACCATCTGTAGTATGTACACAAAACCCAAAATTACATAATGAAAACCTAACAAGAATAAAACAGACAGCCGAGAACATTTAGCAGACACGGCAGTGTAATTTGCTAAAGCTAAAACAAATCCGTAAATACATAGGTCTTGCAAAACCCAAACGAAACCAATAAGTAGGTGAAAACAACAACTGAAGGAATAAATTAATGAATTCTTTGCTTAAAATGGCCAACATTAGAAATAGCAATCAATTAAAAAAAAAAACAAAATTACATATTTTCTCAAAACAATAAAGGCGAACGTACGGTGAGCTTAAGCAAACTCCCAAAGAAGTGAATAATTAATTATGGCAATTTATGTATGTATATTTGCTTAGGTGAAAAAGTTGAAATTTACAAAATTCAGCAGACACTTAATGCTGGAGCATGCGAACGAGAAAGAGAGTTCGTGTAGGTATGAGCATGGATGAGCTTACAATCATAACACCGTGCGACAAAAACCAAAATTTTTTAAAACACGAAAAAATCAATATATTCACATAACTAGGAGTACAACTGCGTTTTTTAATTTTTCTCTCTGACCTCAGGATTTTTTTTTAAGGTCTCTGAAATTTCTGGGATATGCTTTAATAAAAAAACTATTTAAATGATTTTGTGCAAACTTATATTACAGATGCTATAAGGTCGGGTCTTCTAAAAATTAAAAACCATATTTAAAAAATTTTTGAACCGATTTTTAAAAATTGGTATCGTTGTAAACGTGATTAAACCCCCTTTCTTCTGATGTGCATATTTCTATACTTCGTATGTAAAAATTTTAGAAAAAACATTTAAGAGGAAAAAATACTTTTTATAAAAAAAAAATTTTAAATCGAAAAAATTACTAACCGAATCAAACCTCCTTTCTTCTGATATGCGTATTTGTATACTTTGTAAATCAAAATTTGAGAAAACAAAAAACTTAAAAGAAAAAAATACCTTTTTTTATAAAAAAATATTTTAAACAAATAAATTACAAACCTATTTTTAAAAAATTTGTATTGTTGTAAAGGATTCCAGAAGACTTATACCTTTTTAAAACCAAAATTTTCTATTTATATACACAAAAAAAATTTAACTGATTATTCGTGTGTAAAATTGACTGTCGCACGGTGTTATTTAATAAAAAAAAACCTTGAATTTTGTAATAATTTCTCTTGGTTTACATACCTTGAGGCCGGTATGGCACGAATGAGATGCGTCGAATGTTGCATTGACGCCGAGCTGTGATGTCCATGTCCATGATGATGATGATGATGGTGGCTAGCATGATGATGACCGTTATTGTTGTTGTTGCTATTACCAATGCTAAGGTTGGTGGCAGTGTTGTTGCTTTGCATAAGATCACTACCGCTACCTGGGCTAACGCTACCGCTGTTACTACTACTACAACTACTACTACTGCTACTACCACCAGTGCCACCACTGGCCATGTGCTGATGATGTTGCGCTTGCATTTGCTGCTGTTGTTGTTGTTGTTGCTGCTGCTGTTGCACTTCAAGATGCTGATCAAATCCAAAACCACTGTCATTAGAATTATCGCAGGGTGGTGGATGCGGCCGTTGGGGTAACCGTTTACCGGGAACCATTTTACCGGGACCAATCTGGAATAAAGAATACGAATTAATGTAAATGAATGAACTTAACAAATTTAAACAACACAAACTAATAACGTACATATAAAATAAACAGCGAACTATAGTTTGCTACAGCTGAGTATTGAAAATAAACTATTACCCAAGATCACTTACATATTCGGGTTGGTGGTGTTGTGATAGAAGGTGGAATTACACCCTATGTGACAATGTCATCGCAACAGCATATAATGACATTCTTAAAAGCGGATTTTCCCAAGGTTACCTGTATTTTATTTAGGGCCTTTATATTGTTATGAAGTTGATTGAGCGCCTTGCTCTGTTAACACAAAAATAATGGAAAACAATATTCGACTAAACATGAATTCATTAAAATAATTAATATATCTTGACTCACTATTTTTTTAGATTACGTCCAGAAGCTACATATATAGAGAATCATATAGACAGACAAAAAGTGCGAAATCATCGTAAACCAAAACCAAGGATGAACGACTCACGAAAGACACCAAATTGAAATTCAAATAAACAGACATCGCTTTCCCCGACAAATTTTTCAATGCAGCTTGATATAGTATTTAAATTTTTTTTGGAAGCATTCTATTGATGTAGCCGTAATAATTCGTTGAATGTTTGCAGGTAATTTTTTTAAAACTTTGTATTACCATTAATTTAAAATTAAATGATTTTAATCTCACTCTTTGTTGGACAATTATTTGAATTGAACGAAGAAAAGCTTGGAGAGCGATATTGAAGTGGTTGGTTGTTTATGTTTGTCTGCAAGCTTTATGTCGGCAAAGAAGTATCTTCCCTTGCCTTGGCAGGCAGTTCATTCGTGCTTTATTCTCACCTTGACTAAGTATTATCTTTTACTGTAAACTAGAAGATAACGCCAACTAACTATTAAGCCTTTGAACTAAGCCTTCGAATAAACTATAGGAATATTTAAAGAACACCATTTCCAATGTGGCCATTTGATGACGGCGATATATGAGCGATGCTAAGAAGCAAATACTCAATCGAAAGAAAATACAATAGGGGTATTCTCTGAGTCTTGCAAAGCCCTTGCACGGTGCACAGATTGCACGGATTGCACGGAAAAAACCGGTTTTCGTATGGGACAGCTTTGCAAACCGTGCAATCCGTGCACCTTGCAAGGGCTTTGCAAGACTCAGAGAATACCCCTAATATTTACTCACCCGTGAAACAGAATGCAACTTTCCAGGTATCGCTTTGCCCGGATACCGTTTCGAGGGCGTACGAAAGCCTTTGCGCTGAATGCGTGCCGTCATCGTTGATGCAGTTGACATGGTCATGCGCATACCTAAAAAAAAAGTACAAAATAAAATGAAACGAATGAGTATAGATTAATAAATAAATATGTAAATAAATAAGAATTTAGCGTTATCAAAACTTATCACTAGCATTATCAGGCGTAAGTGAGGGTCGCAGGGGTCAACAAAGACTTGAAAATTGTAGAACCTGTGGTATTGCAGAGAAACATCTGTATTTAAGTAAGAGTATATACCCTCAGACAACATTTAAAGCATTGATAAAAACTTAAGTACAACGCCCTCAAGCAAAGGCGTACAGTAAATACACAATTACTTAATATAAGTATTTACATTAGGGTGGTAAAAAAAAAAAGAGTAAAATCGGAATTTTAATATGGAAAAAATATACCCTGTTTTTAGAAGCTTTTACTTAACTTCACTTTTGCATACATATAGATATGTATATGTATGTGATTCCATCGTCACTCGCGTTACATTCGAAGTAAAATTTTACGATTAAAAGCCCAATTACATTCTACGAACCATTTACAATCAAATGCTTATAACTTATTAAATACAAATCAAACGTAAGTCGTCACTCGCGTTACAATTTCGGCACAAGGGATATTGAGCTATGATTTATCAAAATTTAGGTGAAAGTTCTCAAAAGAATTAGTTACTTTTAGAATATTAAGTGTTAGGATTTAGTGGAGTGTATTTTGCAAAAACAAATTGTATTGATATTTAGAGAGATATGAAAGATCAATGGAATTATATGTGCCGTTCATCGCGTACAGCAATTGTTTTCACAATTTTTTTTTTAATCTCGGAGCTACTACTTTTAGCTATGTTAGGGGTAATGATTATAGTATTTTGACATTTTTTCAATACGGTATTATAAAAACTTAACTATTACTAACCTAATTATAACATTTTGGTTTTTTCGCTTTCATGAATCTCTGCCTGGAAATCCCCAGTACATATGTATGTATGTAGACCCTGGAATTTTACAATCAATATTTCAATAACTTTCCGATGAGCTAGAGACTTGAAAGTTCAAACTTAGCTCATAACCCCATGACAATGCATGCAAGATGAAATAATTCGCTAGGTGACGCAGTAGTCGAGGTATTTGGGAATGCCGTATTTATGGTCCGATTTGGTTCACACTTATACAACTTGTTTTGAAAATATATTTTTCCTATTAACTTATTTATTTTGAAATAAAAAAATATTGCCACAAAAACCCCAAAAAATGCAATGAGAGACCTATAAAAAATGGTTAAATAAACAACTGGGTATTATTATTGGAAGTCTGCTGAAGAGAAACAGAGTTTACAGACCGAAAAATGTCAATTTTCAATAATTCTATACTATTTCCACGAAAACTGGTTTTTTCTATATAAATTACTTAGACAACTTTGAGCGTTTTGGGCACCTGCAAAAAATTACTTCATTTCGAAATAAAAAAAAACAGGAGTATCTATATTTTTTCGATATAGAACAATCTCAGAGGGTGAGAGCATTAAAATTCGGACTTTATTTTTCACATGCATTGTTTTTAACCACCCTAATACACATATATGCATATTTGTTAAAAGTAGCAACAGAGAAATTATAGCACATCTTGGTCAGACAGCTTAGCTTCTGTTATCTCGAAAACCAAGTTTAAGTGATGCCTAAAGCAGGGCGCTTGCCAAAGGACAGACAATCGTTGAAAGTTGAGTGCTATAAACAGTAAACACTTAATGTGTGTACGTATGTATTAATGCGATGAGTGACAGATCACGAGCAATAGCAATGGCACCACGCCAACTAACTTGTGGTGATAATCAATGAGTTTTTAATTATCTCATAGACGTAAGTGTTTGCATATAGTATGTACATTAGGGTGCCCATCGATAATGGTTTTTTTTTTTGGAGATTTCAAGACCCTACACCCTAATTTTATTCGTTTTTATGAGAAATATTATTGCCTATTTTTATATATTTTTTAAATGTCAAATGTTGACAGCAAGGAAGGTTGAAGAACAGCAAAAGGCTCTAGGTTCACAGATGTCATAGTAGATTTCAGAGGAGGTTTCATCCCAGCTGGAAGCACAAAAAATATACATGTCACGCAGCTTCATGTTTAGTAAAGAGGCAACGCGCAACTCAAAGAAAGACAGGACCAAATTGAAGGAAAACAGGATAAAATCGAAGCGCTTATTAAGAAGAAACGGGACAAAGTCCGATTCCTTTTCAGGTATTTAAGCTCCAGTCCGAGAAGACAGCTATAGCATACCATTGGAGCATGGAGGACAAATCCGCTGCACTATTCGTTACATTGAGAGGCCTGCAGTGGTAATCTTACAGACTATTCCTGACTCTGAAAGGAACAATTACGATGCATTGAACTGGGCCGTGGAAAGACGTTATGGCAGCGAGCACAGGAAGCAGATTTACAAGATGGAACTGGAGAATCACTGCCAAAAATCCAACGAGGCTCTACAGGAATTCGCCTCAGAGATCGAGAGATTGGCCCACTTGGCAATTGGGGACGCATCTGGTGAGCACCTCTAAAGGTTAAAAATTCAGAGATTAATCAGCAGAATGCGGGAAATGTATACCAAGCGAGAGACGTGTGCGAATCCAAAGCCAACATTTGGTGAAACTGTCTACTATACTCAGACACGTCAATCGGAGGCGGTCCTAAGTAAACCAGCCTACAAAGCCCTTCGAGTAGAAGTGGTCTCCACCTGACGTGATGAACGAGATCCTGAAAACACTCAAGCCGATGGCAGGGAAAAATACTCCTGGTGCAACCGAAAGCAAGGATGGTGCTGGAAAATGCTTTAGTTGTAGAGAACCAGGCCATTTTGCACGCGATTGTAAGACGGGTACCAGCAGGTCTAATAGTTCAGCAATACGTAAACGCAGGGCTGAGGAGGACGAGCCCAACTCCGATTAGTCATTAAACTAAAACGGGCCAGCATAATTTCCGTATCTCGAATTGTCAGAAAAGCGAGCAACCTTACTGTTGGTGGATTCGACCCGATTTGGCCACTTGGTATGTGAAGCCACTACCTGGAGCAAAGCTGCAGACAGCAACTGGTAAGCGCACCCAAGGGATAGGAAAAATACTATGCGAGGTAATTATCGGGGGCGTGGCCTCGTACATCAAGTTTATAGTGGCAGACATTGTGGATGAAGTCATCATCGGCGTGGACTTCCTACTTGGCCAAGGCATGAAGATTGACCTCTAAGGAATGATTCTAACCGATCGCGACAGAAAGTCGCCACTTTAGGTTCCACCAGCGACGGAAGCGGTTAGTTGGGCAGAGGTTGGCAGTGATGGAGACGGAGTGGTTTCGTCAGAAGAAGGAAGCAGTTCACCGATACAGAAAAAGCGTGACGGTTCCGCCAGCTCAGTGAAGAAGAGGAAGTCACACCAAGGAAGTGGTCATGGCAAGCCAGGCAGTGTTTCCGGCAGACGGAAAGCCACTGAAGCGGCTGTGGAAGCACTGAGCGCGCTTTGAAGTATCCAGGAAAAAGGTCGTGGTCGGAAGAGGATGCAAAGGCAAGCATTAGAGCCTGAAGCTTCTTCAATGAAGTTGACGTCGGCGGATGGGCGAGATGCGCAAACACTGGGCAAGTTTCAGCGTGAGGATGCGGATTTAGCAAGGATCGAAGCCTGGTAGTCATGGCCAGAGGAGGCCGCGTAAATCCGGAGAAAAGGGTGCCCATGAGAAGAAGCATAGTCTGGTCACCACCAGGGCCCGGGGGAAGCGCGACCATGCAAGATGTTGCATTCCCGGAGATAAGCCGGAAGCATGTCCAATAGCGCATGGAGCCGAGAGGGTTTCAAGGAAGGCGATTTGGTGTTTGTGTGTGTGCGTTGTTGTACAAGCTTCAGTGGAAGCAAGGCTTCACCTCCAAAAAACCAAGTAACTGGAAAGGTCCGTATAAGATTTTCAAACGGCTGAATGACGCAGTGAATCGAATCTAGACTGTTGGCAGACCGTGAAGCAAGATGAAGGAGGTCCACTTGGAAAAACTTGCAGTCGGTTGTCCACTTCAAAGTTGTTTTTTCGTAATTAAGAAAAATAAAAAAAAAAACAAAAAAATGTCTTCTCTGACGGCATTTGAACCCGAACCTGCTTGTAGCCAACAAATAAATAATCAAACAATAACTTGGTTGCAAAAACCATTGTGCTTTTGGCTCAGTGTAGTGGATATTCGCCAGTAGGTATTTTTCTGAAGCCAGTTCATTCTACTGACTGTACAAGTTATTGCAGTTTTTGGTTTGAATCTGGAGTTCAAAGTTTTATTACAATTTATTTCGTTTCTATAGGTACGTAAATTCATTTTTTTTATCTCAAACAAATTTCAATTTTCAAAATACCTACGCCAATTTATTCCTACAAGAAAATACCGAAATAAATTTTTTATTTACCCGGATATTTTATAAGACAGAAAATTGGTATCGTTGTAAAGGATATCAGAAGACTTATACTTTCTTTAACCAAATTTTGTTTTATATACACAAATAAAAATAATAAAAAAATATTTTCCCTCTATATAAGTCCTTAAAAAAAAAAACAAAATCCTGACGTCACAGAGAAAAACTAAAAACGCAGTTTTACTATATTTGGCCCCACGTTTTGTGAATATATTGATTTTTTCCTGTGTAAAATTGACTGTCGCACGGTGTAACATGTATAAGCTTTTTTCACATATCAATCGATTTGCCCTAATAATTTACGTACATTATGTCGCTTTGATGTAAATGTATGTACTTACGTACACTTGTAAATGATGTCAATTAAAATGTGCGCTATTGTTATTTGCAAAGATTGTTTATTGTGATTATTTACATTTGATGTAGTCGTAATACAACAAACTACTAAAACTATAATCGGCATTAATTGTTATTTTTCTAAGCACAAGCTGCTGATTGGTAGCTGTTAATTAAATCTGAATTTAATTGAACCGCACCGATGGGTATTTTTGTATACATATGTATGTATGTATGTATATGTACATTACCGCAGCAGAGCAAGAGCAACTA